AGATAAGGCCCACCGAGCTATTGGGTCTTTTTCAGAAGTGACCTGGCCACAAAGTATAGCCCAATGAAGTGGCTTATCACGTGTACATTCATAGCGGCAGCCAACTATTCTGAACGCATGTTGATTCTAAATGTGGAGGTGAAAAACCGGAGGACGAGCGGAAAAATCCAAGTGGCTACCGGGAGAGAAAGACACGTACGCTCCAAATATACAGCAGGTGTCAGGCTAGGGATCGCACATACAACCTCCTGTATACCAGGCGAGGAAGTTAACATCTCCTAGCCACTGTGGCACCTCACACACAAGATGGGTCGACATGTCGACATCTGTCTCTTACTCCATGGTCTGCTGGCGAGTGATGAAAGAGACAACAGACCTGAGATGCTCACTCATTACACTGGTCTACAATTTTTAGACTTCGTCTGCTTCAGAGATGAAATGTGCTGTTTATTATGGATTTTGATGTGCTGAATTCAAATATGACAATTAAAACAACTGATTGGCTATTGTTCCCAAAATATTTAAGTTTACATTTTACGTCTATGTATATTGTGTAGATAATAGTTTCTCATAGATTGTAAACCTCGGGTCTTGTCACGTGTTTATGGTTGCTTTACATGATAACAGGTCACCTGTCCTGTCCATGTAACACTTTAAAAATCAGCAAAAGGGTTATATAAATAAAATGTATTATGAAACACAAGGCAAAACACTATTATGTATATATAAGTACATAATCTAGTCCTTATTCAGTGTCTACTCAGCACTTCTTGGCTTGTCTCTTGAATTGATTAAATGGAGCATCTCTTGTCACTGTCCAGCAAGTCTGCAAGCATTGATGGGCTCAATTTGCCCGGATAGCCTTTCTCCATTGTTGCAATGTCCTGGTGAAATCGCTCGCCATCCTCGTCGCTCACTGCTCTGCAGTTCGGTGGGGAAAAAAAAAATCTATGAGAGCGCCAAAAAACGTATCTTTAGTGACATGTTGCAACCAAGGCTTTGGTAAGCCTTGAGGTGGTTTTCCACCATCTCCCTGTAGTCGGCTGCCTTGTTGTGTCCGAGAAAATGTGTTGCCACTGACTGGAAGGCTTTCCATGCCATATTTTCCTTGCCACGCAGGGCACTGTCAAATCCGCAATCTCTTCACCACAAACATAGACGAAGTTAACTGCTTTGTTCACATAAATACGAGGCATCTCTGCTCACTTTGGCTAAACAGAAATGGGTCCCTTTGCAAAATCAAACACTGACAAATAAGAGAGCACGACACTGTATGCTTTCTAGAGCTGATATAGGGCAATTTGTTCACCAGAGGGATGTAAAAGCCTAGTTATGATTGCATCATCCATGACTTTAGGAATAACATGAAGCAATTCATATCATGTATGATGCAATACCAGGTTCAGATTTAATCATTGTTTTGATAAAAAAAGCAAGTACTTCCCAAAGCCGGTTATAGATGTATTCATAGATCAAGGCCGTAATTATAATATATATTGGACACATCCCCCCCCCAATATTCAAATATGCTCAAAATGTCCTCCCCAATATATTGCTATAAAAATGTTTTTTAATAATTGATATGTTATGTAAATAAAAACAACAATTCGCTAAACCTTGGCCACAATATCTGGACTTGTCTTCATATAAGAATGCATAGATTAATGTTTATATTATTGTGGTTATGGTTGTACTTTATTAATCTATAATCTCTGCCATTACATACAATGAAACAAGAAAATGAACACAAAAAACAGAGCAATGTAATACAATACACTAGTAGACATTATTGACCCCCTGGAAGATTTGGTACCCCCCAATGTTAACTCCATGGCTACGGCCTTGTCATAGATACAAAGATGTATTTTAGTAATTTCTGGTTTAAATTGAGATACCTTCCCTTTATAACTCACGTATCCTCCGCCATTTCCAAGTCAAGGGTCATATATACTGACCCAGTAGCATAGCTTGAAAACTAGAGCCAATCAACAGTTTTAAGCATCGTTTTCATTCTCAGTGAGCCAGAATTAGTCAAGTTGGACTACATTTATTTCGGACGCATTTCGGCTGTAGACCAGTGTAATCCGTAAACACACGTGGAACCTCCGATTCCCAGCCTAGATTCCTCCACTGACTTCGTGAAATGGATCGTGAACATATCGCCTGACGGCCAGCCCCCCATTGTCTACGGCTCGGCTGGAGTTTTGCCAAACTCAATGCAGAACCAAATGTCACGCGATATGGGTTCTGTTCTTTGCGCAGTCACCGATACCAGGCTCAGACCATCGACTCGCTGTACCTGGGAACCCCGTTTCATCGCAACCCAGTCCATGTGCGAGTCTATGGGTCTCTGTGTGAGTCTACGGGTCTCTGTGTGAGTCTATGGGTCTGTGTGTGAGTCTATGGGTCTCTGTGTGAGTCTACGGGTCGGTGTGTGAGTCTACGGGTCGGTGTGCGAGTCTATGGGTCTGTGTGTGCAAGTCACAACACTCAACCCTCGCTCCCCGACTCGCGCTCACTAAAACGGACTCACCGACCCCCACACACACGCGCCATCACCTTTGTCTGCGCGAGAACCCACAGACGTGGACCACTCGCATCTTCCTCTCTCCACTTGCCTCGCTCTACCTCGGCGATAGGAGCTGGCGCAATGGCAAAAATAACGAGTTAGAGAGAGAGAGAGCCTTGAGAGGAAAGAACGGCGTGAGAGGATTGAGAGGATAGCGACAGAGGGGGAGGCGCTTCCACCACCACCATCACCGTGTCCAGGGCGACACGCACCTGGCGGGGCGGAGACCGGCGTAGCCCCTCCCCCCTCTCTCCACAGCCCCCCTCTCTTCTCCACAGCCCCCCCCCCCTCTCCACAGCCCCCCCTCTCCACAGCCCCCCCTCTCTCCACAGCCCCCCCCACAGCCCCCCCCTCTCCACAGCCCCCCCCCCTCTCCACAGCCCCCCCCCTCTCCACAGCCCCCCCCCCTCTCCACAGCCCCCCCCCTCTCTCCACAGCCCCCCCCCCTCTCCACAGCTCCCCCCCCCTCTCTCCACAGCTCCCTCCCCCCCTCTCTCCACAGCCCCCCCTCTCCACAGCTCCCCCCCCCTCTCCACAGTTCCCTCCCCCCCTCCACAGCTCCCTCCCCCCCCTCTCTACACAGCTCCCTCCCCCCCCTCTCCATAGCTCCCTCCCCCAATCGCAGTGGAATCTCCCTTGACATCCGGATTTCTCTATCCTACTCCTTTCCACCCCCGCGCTCAACTCTCTCATCACATTGCCCAACCATCACCCTCCACCCTCATCCCACGAATATCAGTCCCCGCCTCCTCTGCCGGGCACCATCCTTTGCCTCCATACCCACGTGCATCCTCTACGTGCAGCGGAATTTACATAGCAGACCCACTCAGTCGTTTGTCAATCTTTAGCTCTCCGATCCATACCAACTGCGTGCCATGTATGTGTCGTGCCGTAGATGGGCCGCACTTACCGGCAGTGGTAGACGGGGCCCATCTGGAGACGGTACCTTGTACCGCCAGGGGAGGGGCTGCTGGGGGCTCAGGATCCCAGACAGCTATCCCCCTCGGTGCTACCAACGGGAGGGGGGGGGCTGCGGGGGATCTAGGATCCCAACGCAACCCCACCCCTCGATGGGCAAGGGGCATAAAAGGGAAACTCCCCAGCCGATCGGGACGAGTTGAAGACCGAAAACCAGCGAGATAGGACCCGGAGACCCCGAGCCCCGCTGTCCTTATCAGGGCCGGGACGCTGTGCGGCTCAGTGGTGAGACCCTGGGAACCCCTGGCCCGACGTCCTTGTAAGGGCTGGGTCCAGTGGGTCATTGGCCGGAACTCGCACCCTGGCTAGGGCGAGTTAGAATAGCCTCCCCCGAGGCACCCATAGCTGGAGGACCCTGAGTGTAGTCCTGTTAGGGCACGTTAGCCCTGAGGCAGTACCTCCCCACAGTGGTACAGGACAGTAACCCGGAGTGTTCTGGGACTGTACTGCCGAGGTGGTTTAATAGTGCTTGCCTCCAAGAACCGTCTCCAGCGTCTCCTGAATCCACAACACTAAATATGTATTGCCCCGCTCGTTTACCTATGAAAGTCTGTCTCAAGACTCTAATCTAAACTTTGCATTTTATTTTACCAGGTAAAGCCCTCCGAGCTATATAACACATTTCCTGAAGCGACCAGGCTATCACAAATGATAGTTCAACGAAGTGGCTTATCGTCACGTGAACATTTATAGTATTGGCCAAATATTCTCAACGTGTGATTTTTTTTATTTTAAATGTGGAGGGGAAAACTGAAGGACCTGACCCGGACAGAAATCCACACGACCACGGGTAGAAGATGCAAAATCCAAATATACAGGCGTCGGGGTTGGGATCAAACCCACGACACCTTGCCACCGTGGCACTAGTGGGGCGATGCTGCTGCAGCGGATTTCTTAGCACGGGGATGTAACGCGGCCACTCGCAGTTGACAATGTGTCGGATGTGGAGCTGAGTGGACTTGCCGATGACCGGTACCAGCGGTGTCAAGATCGGACTCTGTGGAGGAGTCTCGTGAAGGACGCTGCGACTGGGCAGTTGGAGGCAGTCGCCCTCCAGCAACAATGGAGGGCAGAGCCACGCTCACAACAACGTGCAGAGCACCGGGTGGCTAAAGCACAGCAAGTTGGCATAGGGGGCCAGTCAACCCATGGCCCCTCTTGGATCTGTCCTGTAACATGTCAGCAGGTGAGCCTTCGAAGTTTCCACGTGGCTTTAACGTGCACATCGCCTGGCACAGGTGTCGTGGTGACGTCACCGCCACTTGGCGGCGGCTGCTGCTGTTGAGTGAAGGCTTGGTGCGTCGCTGTGAAGGCAGAGGCTTGAATCCGTGCCCTCGTGAGAGCCAGAAAACGGGGGGGGGGGGGTGGAAAACGCCTGCACCCATCACTCGGACATCACACGAAGACCGCAAGACGTTCGTACCGCTTGCATTGTAACAACCGCACACGCCTCGATCGACCACAGGATTTATTATCGATTCCACTTGATTACACCCAGGTGAGTCTCAAGACTCACGTTCAGGAGGGTCCGGTCGGGTGTTTCGCAGTCAGGGGGTAAAGTTGTTGCTGCTGCAGTGATCCCAGTCGAGTGATCTGCAGGGCTCATCTCTCAGCATTGGCTGGGGGATGTGGTTGTGGCCAAAAGCAGTGCCACTGCTCGCGTGTGCACGTGGGTTTAGCTATGGGGAGGAAGCCGGAGGGAATCCCCATGCAGAACAGGAGGGGGGATAGAGACAACAAAGACCCCCCGTGAAGCCTGAACAGACTGCTGGGGCAAGTGCCGTTCGTGAGCAACACCTATGAAGGCCGGCACGGCACACGAGGGGGTGGGTGGCGAACACCAGGCCCTGCCGCCTTTGTCTCCCGAGTGGCGATGTTTACCACACACTGCAGCAGGTACTCATTTGAGGCCCAGGACCGGTTCAGATAATCGTCACTGGTGTTGGTGGCCGTGAGTGGGACTCTAACTCGGGTCACCGAGTTTGCAGTGCAGCGTCGCGCTCACCGCTGAAGAGACCACACTGGCACACGCACGCACAGGAACACGTGCTCCACAACAGAAAGGATGCCCGAGTTGGGAATCGAACCCAGGGTGAAATTCTTGCTGCCGAACCCGACGGAAGGCAACGGCCAACAATTCCTCCTCCCTCAAAGTCGCACAACACGTCTGTGACCGGTCCCTGCCAACATCCCGTCGGCCACACGGCCTTAGCAGCGTTATATTTGTGGGTCCCGGATGCAAGCAAAACTCTGGACTCGGGGTTTTGACTGTCTCATCAGCATTATAAAACGAGTGACTGCCGATGAGATGCAACTCCTAGAAGGCTGCGTGACTGAAGGGATGTGTTAAAAAAATATATACTTACATTGTTTATTTATAGGGACGGGCACGGTAAGGACTTTTTAAATCTAGATTTGAAAACTAATTTATTAACTTGTTGTTTAGTTTGTTGTCCTCCCCCGCACCTCCGATTAGCACGGTTGGCTGATGTACGGTGCGAAAAGTTAAACGTACACACACACACGTACATGTGTGAATAAACTTCACCGCCGTAGTTACAAGTCGTTTGGCAAGGTTGCGTGCGGTGGGGTAAAGTGTGGGTACATCCCACCTCTATTCTCCAATATGTCTTGGTACGACGTTGAAGAGTAGACCAAATCCTCCTCCATGAAGGTTTTTTTGGTTAGATCGTGTAAATGTCTGGTTAAACCCAACACAGCCTTTTAGTAAGGTTTGTCACATTAATAAAACATGCCAATTCGTTACTAGTACAGCACTAACCGGTTGTGCGTTGTAGAGTTATCCCACAGCATTTACAATTCGAGTAGCCGTGACACTTCGCCAGATTATACAACCAGCCTCACGAGGCGAAAGTCAGTTGTGGAGAAATACTCCTCCTGTTATGGTCTTAAATAGAGGGGATGAATGTGATGTCGTCACCTGTGAGCCAATCAGGTGGGAACAATATAACCCAAAAAAACCTCCTCTATGGATATTGGCCGCGAAAGCCTACGTGTTAAACAAATCCTCCTCTACTGCACACCACCACGTGTCCCACCCATCATCACAACCTCCTCCCCCTGCGATTCCTGACGTCTAAGTTGCTTCGCTCCACCCTCCTCCACTGGCACACGTGTCCCGTACACGCAACCAAGGAGGCGGCGGGGGTTCCACAGGCCTCTCCGTGCCGAGCCCACATCATCACTCAGCGTCCACAGAGAAGCAGATGGCATGTGGTAGGATAACAACGGTCAACACTACACCACCACTGGCACCACCGCCAATGCAGTAATCGCCAACCACGAACCCTTGCAAATAAGCAGCGGACGCATCACCGGTCCCTTGCGCTACTACCGACCCAGCGCGCCGAGTTCGATTCCCGGCCACGGCTATTAAACGTTGGTGAAGAGCGAAGTCTGAAACGTTTGTGAAGAACCCCTCCCCCCTGCTACCCTAGTGGTGGTAGTGCCTTATGCCGGCATGAGCAGCGATGCACAGAGCACCGAGCGAGAGAGACTCACCCGGAGCACAACATAGGACTCGCTTCCTGACAGTACCGACTCAACCCTCGTTACGCTCTCATCCAATGACCAACGTTGATCGTGCCGATGTTGCTGGCCACCTCGGCGCTTTGGGCCGGTGCTTAGTGGCTGTGTACAAAAAAATAAACACACACACACACCTCGGCTCAAGTGCTGGAGGGAGGAGTGGGTTGGCGATCGCCGCCAGAGTGATTGTGAGTGTACTGGTATGCGTGAGTATACCGGGATGAGTGAGTGTATGAGAGTGTGTGTGTGTGTGTGTGAGTGTATCAGTGTGTGCGAGTGAGTGTATCGGTGTGTGAGTATACCGGTGTGAGTGTATCAGTGTGTGTGAGTGAGTGTATCAGTGCGTGTGAGTGTATCAGTGCGTGTGAGTGAGTGTACGAGTGTATCAGTATGTGTGAGTGAGTGTATCAGTGCGTGTGAGTGAGTGTACGAGTATCAGTGCGTGTGAGTGAGTGTACGAGTGTATCAGTGTGTGTGAGCGAGTGTATCAGTGTGTGAGTGAGTGTACCGGTGTGTGCAAATATACCGGGATGAGTGAGTGTACGAGAGTTTGCGTGTGTGAGTATCAGTGTGTGCGAGTGAGTGTATCGGCGTGTGAGTATACCGTGTGAGTGAGTGTATCAGTGCGTGTGAGTGTATCAGTGCGTGAGTGAGTGTATCAGTGCGTGAGTGAGTGTACGAGTGTATCAGTATGTGTGAGTGAGTGTATCAGTGTGTGAGTGAACCGGTGTGTGTGAGTGTACGAGTGTATCAGTGTGTGTGAGTGAGTGTATCAGTGTGTGTGAGGAGTGTATCAGTGTGTGTGTGTAAGTGTCCCGGTGTGTGCGAGTGAGTGTACCCAAGTGTGAGTGTACCGGTGTGCGTGAGTGTCCCGGTGTGAGTGTACCAGTGTGAGTGAGTATACCGATGTGAGTGAGTGTACCCAAGTGTTTGAGAGTACCGAAGTGTGTTTGTGAGTGTACTGGTGTGAGTATACCGGAGTATGTGCGAGTGGGTGTGAGTGTATTCCTGTGTACACGTGTGTGTTCATGTATGAGTGTATTTGTACGAGTTGATACATGCCAGTGTATATGTCTATGTATGTGGGAGTGTGTGTATACGTGAGTATACGTGCGAGTGTCCATACGTGCGAGTGTCCATACGTGCGAGTGTACATACGTGCAAGTGTGTATACGCATGTGCGTGCAAATGTGTAGTGTGTAGGTCTTGTCACGTGCTTGCTACGTGCCACGCGACACCCCGGGGACACCGTTGCATTGACAAGGTCACCGACTCATCGTCCATTGCGACGCCATTCCATCGAGCGTTGCTGTTCACAGCACGACGGGGGACAATCGGAGCCTCCCCATCCCCTGCCCGTCCCGGATGGACGTTGCCCCGCCGGTTGGGAGTGTGGGGGGGAGAGGGCGGCTCACTTGGCCTCCTCTTCCCGCAGAAACTGGAAGACCGAGGAGAAGTCTTTGGCGGCGTATCCGCGCGCACACATCACGCGGTAGAGCTGGTGCGCCAGCGAGCCCAGTGGCACCGGCGTCTTTGTGTTAGTTGCCGCGTTCTGCGCCAGACTGAGGTCCTGCACAGACGCATGCACGCACGCAGACACGCATGTAGAGACGGGCACGTGGGCGTACGCAATCGCAGTTAGAAACACAGAGGCAAGCACACACAATCACAGAGACACACGCAGAAGACACGCAGGGACACACAAACACATGTCCTCCCCGGTCCCACCCCTCCCCTGCTCACCTTGGCCATTAGGCTGGTGCCGAAGCCGCCCTGGTAATTGTTGGCAGCAGGGACGCCCTCCATGACGCCGGGCACCGGGTTGTATGCCTCGCTCGACCAGCAGCGCCCCGAGCTCATGTTGAGGATCCGCGCCAGAAGCTTGGGGTCCAGGCCCAGCCTGAGACACAAACAACAGCAGCAGGACTTGAGAACACAAGCGCAGTACCACCATGGCCTGTCATCACTGTTCATAATCGTCATAACGCATCGCTATGATCATCATTATCAGGCATCGCTATGATCATCATCAGGCATCGCTATCATGATCATCATCATCAGGCATCGCTATCATGATCATCACACGTCGCTATCATCACCACCACGCGTCACTATCAACACCATCACGCGTCGCTATCACCATCATCATCACGCGTCACTATCATTACCATCACACGTCGCTATCACGATCACACATCGCTATCAGTCACGCGTCACTATCACCATCATCACGCGTCACTATCATTACCATCACGTGTTGCTATCACCATCACCCATCGCTATCACAATCACACATCTTCGCACCTTATTCCGAGATTCATAGCTTCAGACGTCCCGATCATGCTGATCGCCAGCAGCATGTTGTTACAGATCTTGGCTGCCTGCATATCAGGAACAAGCACCACAGCAACAACTGAAAATTAAGTTTATTTTACCAGGTTTAAGTCCTGGCTCATGCTGATCATCATCACGTGGAAATTTAGAGCAGCAGCCAAATACTCTAAACGTGTGACATTGATTCTAAACGTGGAGGGAAAAAGCGGAGGACCCAAAGATAAATCCACGCGACCACGGGCATATGCAAACTCCAAATCCAGTCTTCTCCTTTGAAGCCGCATCTTGTTTTCATAATGCGAATTGTATACAAGGTAATGAATGTATAAGGGAACACATTGTTTTATAACGCGGATGCGAATTGTCTAAAACGCGATTGAGTGAAGGGAACTACGTCGCGCCAGTAGGAATAAGCGTTTTAGAGGTGTAGCATTATCGCACAAGGCATTGGGATGATGCTGTATGCTTCTAGATGCTACCCACATGCCTCAAGTCTTTGTACGGCCTGCGTACGCATCTTGCGTGTGATCAGGGACTGTGCATTACCCCCTATCTCATCTATAAAAGTTATTATTTGTCTGTGTCTGTTTATCTGTATGCGCACACGCACTTGCGAGGGATTTGGCGCTCAAATGGTGGGGTTTATGTAGAAAAATATTTGCCAGATAGCACGCTGTAAGTCCCACGGTGGGCAAGCGCCATTCCGGTTTCCCGTCACCCACCTTCAAAGTAGTTAAAATAGCGTTTTTAGGCGATTTTTCTTTATTTATTGATTTAGTTTTGCCACCCGCCGCAGGACAAAGCACGCAATTGTGCATGCGCGAAACGCTGACAGAAGTTGCCCCTCGCAACGCACACACGATCGATAAAAATGTTCATTCGCGTTAACAATGCTTAAAAAATACAAACAACGCTGAGGTTCATTCTTCACAGTCTTATGTCCTCCCCCCCCACCCCAATGCGTGCAGTTACTGATATAAATTCCATAGATATTAATATTATAGCGCTTACATAGTATTATTGCAGCACAGGTGGGGAGAACGGCCCAGCCCCTAGCCTGGCAATGTGTCACCTCCTCCGGCTGGGCAATATAGGCGAGGCCGCGGGCTCTGCACGGGACTAGGCCTCACCACGGCAATGTAAAGTACAATTTTATTGCATCTTTCGCAAACAACTCACGTTAGTCGTTTACTAATATTTTATTATTAGGTTGCTAAATATTTCGTTTGTTAGGTGTTTTTTTATGACGCTGCGACAGTGTACTGCCAGTCTGTGCTGTGACCTGCTGCCTGCTGATTAATTAACGTCAGTGCACTCGCACTATTATCTACACTGCTAATTTAGCTTTTGCCCATTATGAGTGTATGCCAGTCCATAATCTGTTGCCTGCTTCTTTACCTCACTCAGTGTACTGCCAGCCTTTCATGTCGACTGTATCCTGCTTTTTCAGCTGTTGCCCATATTGCCAGCTTTTTATGTCTACTGCTTATGTCATCGAGTCGGCGTACTGGCAGTCTATAATCTAGACTGGAGCCTGCTTCTCAACTGACCTGTGCGTACTGCTGCTCTTTAATGTACACTTGTTTCAGCTTATTTCAATGCATTTCTATTGTTTCGATTGCTCACGTCACGCTATTTACGGATACGTAGTACTGCGATGCTCATTAATGTTATACTGCTAAATATGTTGCACTTTCTTCGCTACAGCCCATTGCATTTCGCATATCGTTTTGTTACATTCGTGGGAACATCACCCATTAAAATTTTGCCGTACCGCACCTTTACTTACTCTTAGGTTTTTTCGGTAAAGTCACGTAGGTAAAAATTTAAATTAATAAAAGTAAAATAAAACAAATTAAAAAATTCACGACGTTTCGGAAGCAACACAAGCCTCCGTCTTCAGGTGGAACCGTCACAGCCACGACAGCTGTATCAAGTAAATGAGAGATCACAAGAAATACTACCCCGTATATATAATGGTTGAGGGGGGGCCAGGAACGGCACACTTTTTAATTAATATGGTAAGGTGAGGCTTAAGACCAAGAGTAGACTGCATAACAAAGGACTGAGCCTTTGTTATGGAGAGGTGCGGTTTGTAACTAACACATGGCATACATAAGAAAAGTGTGAAAAAAGAAAAGCAAGTAAAAACTAAAACTGGTAAAACAACTGGCTGTCTATCAACAGTCAGTCCTTTGTTATGCAGTCTACTCTTGGTCTTAAGCCTCACCTTACCATATTAATAAAAAAAGTGTGCCGTTCCTGGCCCTTCCCCCCTCAACCATTATATATACGGGGTAGCATTTCTTGTGATCTCTCATTTACTTGATACAGCTGTCGTGGCTGTGACGGTTCCACCTGAAGACGGAGGCTTGTGTTGCTTCCGAAACGTCGTGAATTTTTTAATTTGTTTTATTTTACTTTTATTAATTTTTTTTACCTACGTGACTTTACCGAAAAAACCTAAGAGTATGAATCCTTGCAGTCACGAAAGCTTCAAATCTAGCACCTTTACTTTTCACCAAAGCGGGGCGCACGCAGAGAAGTTCAATGCCCAAAATATTGCTGACCTTGCTTTCTTACGGTGGGTGAGGAACATTGTGAGAGACATTGTGCTTCCATACCAAGAAAACACCATCGCTCGATTTCCTGACACTAACAGAGCATATGATGCCCTACAACAACACATTTTCCTGTCGCAAGGCCAAGATGGGTACCACATCAAGATTCCTCAAATTACAAAGCTGCAGGACAAAGACACTCACAAAACTGTCTCCTCTAAAAAAACTTATATTCCTTCGTGATCATGGACACAGGACGAAACCACATATTATTGTGCGCCAACCTCTTTCACTAGTATGCTGTCAATGAGTATGCCAACTCTTGAGAGTGAGCGCCTTCTTTACATTCAACTGAATAAAAACCGCCTACGTGTGAACAGTATGCTAATCTCTGGGACGCCATCAATGCCGAAGGAGATGCAAACAGTCACAATGTGGGCTGATTAGTTATTTTGCCTTCATCCTTCACAGCTCCACCAAGATACTTGCATGAGAAGACTCAGGATGCCATGATGTACATCAGCCAATATGCCACGCCCCATCTCTTCATCACCTTCACTTGCAATCCCAAATTAACGGAGATCCAGGTTTACCTTTATCTAAACCAAAAGCCACCAGACAGACATGGCATCTTAGTGAGGGTCTTAAAACTCAAAGTTAATGACCTCATGATGCTTATTACGACCAACGAAGGCGGCGTCTTTGCATAGACAAGCAGTAACTTGCACACCATTGGGTGGCAAAAACGTCGTCTTCCCCATGCTCACATTTCGCTATCGATGAGGGAAACAATTCATGCAAGTCACATTGACATATTTATCAGTGCTGAGCTACCTCACCCCCATCAAGACCTCTGCCCTTTTTCTATGTGGTCTGCAACTAAATGGTCCATGGCCCATGTGGCCAGTTCAAATGCGTCATGTACGCAAGACCACAGGTGTACCAAGAGGTATCCACGGAACTACTTGAAAGACACTAATTCGGCCCATGATGGCTATCCTCTATATCATCACAGAAATACTGACCATGGTGGATTTCAAACAACGCTCAGACCTGCCACTAACTCGCTAATTAAGGTTCACAACCGGTGGATCGTTCCCTACTGGCCTCTTCTATGCAAGATCTTCCAGGCCCACTTTAATGGTAAATTCTATTCTAAAAAAATGCATCTAACATGTTTGCCAATACATCAACAAAGGCTCTGACATGGCTGTCTTTGCCTTACAAAACAGAGGGGAAAAGTGTGCATGAGCTCAAACTCTTTTTTCCAAGGAACATACATCAGCAACAATGAGGCCATTTGCTGAATTCTTGGCTTCCCCATCCATGACCGTTCCCCCACAGTCGTCCATTTGGCACTTCACCTCCAAAATGGTCAACGCATCTACGTCACCAAATGAAATGCCCAACAAAAGGCTTTGGCTCCACAAGATACCACCCTTATGGCGTTCTTTGTTTTGTGCCCAAGTGACCCATTTGCTGTCAACCTGCTCTACCATAAAGTTCCCTCCTACTATATATAGACCGCAAAAAAAAAATGGAAAGCGACGTGCTGCTGACGGTGAATCTGATGCCTTAGGGCGAGTCTGTCAAACATAGAGAAGCTTGCAATCTTCGTGCAATTCTTGCACATGATCACCATCTTCATAAAGCTATGACAGAAGCTTCTGTTGATCAGTCCCCTTTCCAACTGACATTGCTCTTCTGCATAAATATTCAAGTTTGCAGCCCATCTAACCCCATGGGACAAAAATACAAAGAGGGCATGAGTGAGGACATCCTCCACGGAGCTCAATGAGAAAATACAAACCTCGACGTCAACTTTTCTGATGTCATCTTCAAACAGGCCCTCATCCTCCTTCACGACAAACTGCACTCCATTGCTGGAAAATACCTCACGTCTATGGGACTACCAACACCCTACAGGGACAACCTGCATGCCCTTGCTCAAGTCATCCTACGTTAAATATGCTATTATGCTTTACAGCTTCTTAAATGTATTAGGAACATTAACCAAAGCTGATGGATGCACAAATATAAGCCTACACGAAAATCTTTGAAGACATTGAGACTAATCGAGTCTTTTTTTTTCCTTGATGCACCTGCCAGTACTGGGAAGACCTTTGTTTTCAAACTGCTCCTCACTAAGGCTCGCCAGAGAGAAAATTGCTCTAGCTGTGGCATCATCGGGGATTGCTGTGTAAGTCGATGTGTTGGTGTGAGTCCATGTGTGTGTGTTTGAGTCCATATGTATGTGCGTTAAGGTCCATTGTGTGCAAGTCGATGTGTGTCCGTGTCTTTTTTGCCCGGGCAACGCCAGATGTGTGTGTGTGTGTACGTTGATGTGTGTGTGTGTAAGTTCAAGTGTGCGTTACAGTCCATGTGTGTGTCGGTCGCTGTATGTGTGTTAGTCGATGTGTGTGTGTTAGTCGATGTGTGTGCATGGCTCCATGTGAGTGTATAAATCACTGTGAGTCTATGTGTGT